CAACCCCCCAGGCCCATCTCCCCCCCCTCCCCGTTCCCCCTCCTGCTTCGCACCGGTTCAGGATCCATCCCACCAGGGCCATCCCACGGCCAGCATCCTGCATCCTACATCCCACTCAGGAAAAAACCCCGACCCCAAATCCAGCTTTTATTTGTCTTCCTCTCACCTCTCCTCCAACCCCCAAATTACTCTCCAGGTGGGATCGGGGGTTGACTATGAATAAAGGGATGAATTTGGGCTGCACCTCTCTGTCCTCACCCCAAAGGTGAGCACCTCTCGCTGCTGGCCGCCAGCCGGCTCAGGGAGCTGATCCGGCAGGAAACCACGTCCTTTTCCCCTTTCTCTCTGTCTTCCCCGCATTTTCCTGCTGCTTTGCCCCTTTTCCCCTTCTTTCCCCACTTTTTTTCCCCCTTTCCCCACTCTTGCTCAGGTAGCAGCACGGGAAAAATCCCTCATCGCCCCTTCTGGGCACGTCCAGAGAGGCAAAGTCCACTCTGGATATAGGATTTATCCTCCCTGGATGTAGGATTTCTCCCCTACATATAGGACTTTTTTCCTTCATGTATAGGATTTCTCCCTCTGAAAATAGAATTTCTCCCCTAGATGCAAGTTTTCACCCTCTGCATATAGGTTTTTCACCCCATGGATGTGATATTTCTCCCCTGGACATAGGTTTTCCCCACCTATATGTAGGATTTCTCCACCTGGATATCGGATTTCTCCTGTGGATATAACATATGCCCTCATGTATATGTTTTTCCCCCCCCGAATATAGGATGTCTCCACTGGATTTGAGATTTTTTGCTACTGAATATATGTTTCCCACACCTATATATATATAGGATTTCTCAACCTGGATGTAGGTTTCCATCACCTGGATGTAGGATTTCTCCCCTGAATATAGGATTTCTGCCCTGGATATAGGAAATGCCCCTTCATATACAATTTCTTCCACCTGTATATGGTATTTCTCCCCTGGATATAGGATCTCTTCTCTCCGAATATAGGATTTCTCCTTTGGATGTAAGATTTCTCCCATGCATATAAGATATTCCCCTTCCCCCCCCCCCATATATAGGTTTTCTTCCCTGAATATAGGATTTTTCCTCTGACTATAGGATTCCCTCCCTCTGGATATAGTGTTTCTCCCCTGGATATAGGTTTCTCCTGCCTGTATATAGGATTTCTCCCCTGGATATAGGATTTCCTACCTCTGGATATAGGATTTCTTCCCTGGATATAGCTCTCTCCCTCCATATATAGGATTTCTCTCCTGAATATAGGATTTCTTTCCTAGATCTAGGATTTCCTTCCCCTAGATATAGGATTTCTCCTTTGGCTATAGGATTTCCAGCCCTGGCTATAACATTTCCACTCTGGACATATCACTTCCACCTCGGACCTGTCACTTAAGCCACTGCTGCTCCTTTGCTTCCCTCACCTTTGATGCCGGTAAAACAACCCGAGCAACTTCCCAGAGCCGTGGCACACTCCAACAGGATGAGCATCCCCCTCCAAAAGACTATGGCTTCCAGAGAACCCCCCAAAACTCCTTTAAGTCCTTTCAAGTGCCCTTGAGGGGAATCAAAGGCTTGACCTCCACGGCTGCTGACACCAGAGCAGTCCCTGTCAACTTGTTTCCATCTCACTCCTTTTTCCTATGGTTTTTCTTTCCCTTGACCTCAGTGCCGACTCCAGCTGCTCTGATGGGATGCAGCAGGAGTGGAGTGGGCTGCAGTGACTTGTCCTTTTGCAGGGGGGCTTTTCCTCCTCCCAGATTTCCCAGTGTTTTCAACCAAAGCCCTGAGGAGAGATGCAGGAGGATGCAACAGGATGTGAAGGGAAACTGAGGGATGACCAGCTCAGTTTGTGCAGTAGGAGCCACTCTGTCCAAAATCCCCCCCAGAACGCACCCTCTGCTCCCATGGATGCTCCTCTCTCTGTATCACAAACCTCAGGAAGCAGCATCCACCTGGCTGGGGTCTGGCTTCTTGCAGCCAGGTGGACCAGTGTGGGATTTAGAGATGAGCAAGGGGTGAAGCATATTCCACTGCCGCACCTTTGGTTGCAAATCCCCCGGGACACCTGCAAGGGTTTTTTAGAAAACCTCCTCATTTTTGGCAAAGGACTCATTTCTAATCATTAAACCTAATTTTTAGGAAATTAACCCCAATTTTTAGCACAGAGACTGACTGACGACCTTCCTGAACGGATTCATTTGGGGAGGGGGATGCCCTGTTTGAAGTCCCACCAGCTGTAACCCTCCCGTTGCCACTGTCAGGAGGGAGCCTGCACAAAGCTGGACGAGGACATCCTGGACATCCCTTTGGACGATCCTGATGCCAATGCGGCAGCTGCCAAGATCCAGGCTAGCTTCCGTGGCCATATGACCCGCAAGAAGATCAAAGGGGGCGAGATCGACCGGAAAACCAAGGACGCCGAGTGCGCCAACAGCACCCGCGGCGGAGACCTCCGCAACGGCGACTAGGTACATCCCAAATTCCCTTCTCCTCCCGGACTGGGTCACTTTTACAAGGATGTGGCTCTGAGCGTCCTTTGCTCTGTTGATTTGGGATGGAACATCCTTCCCTGTGCACATTTGGGATGGAGCATCCTTCCCTGAGCTGAGTTGGGATGGAACATCCTTCCTTGAGCCAAGTTGGGATGGGGTATCCTTCCCTGTGCAGATTGAGGATGGAGAAGGGCTTTTTCCTCCCTGGAGATGGAAGCACGCGGGCTGGCAGCCCCTGCCTGCCCTAATTTTGGGCGCGCGCCGTAGTAGTTGGGAAGGATGGGAAGTAGGATGGGAAGGCGCAGCCCTAGATTTGGATTGAATTTCTCCCTTAGCAACACCACCCCGAGCGCGTCGCCTCAGCACATGCTATTTTTAAAAGCCTGTGTCACAGTCTCCTGGCAGGAAAAGGTAAATTTAAAAGCACCCACGGTGCCGAGGCCGCGTGGTACCGGAGCCCAGGGGGCGGCTGGGCCATGCCCCCAGCCCTGCCCGGGGCTGTGCCGGTGCCGGGAGCACGGAATGGCCACGGAGACTGGGAATGCTGGTCTGGGGGTAGCGGCGGGGAGGGAGTGCTGCTGCTCTGACCACGTGTGTGTGGCAGGGATGGTGGAGCTGCAGCTGGATTGGGACTGGAATGAAGCTGGGATGGACTGGGATGTAGTGAGGATGTCATGGGGATGCAATGGGGATTTAGTGAAGATACAGTGGTGATAAACTGAGGATGCATTGGGAATGCACTGGGGATTCAACAAGGGTGCAATGGGGCTGCAATGGGAAAGAACTGAGGAGGCAGTGGGGCTGGAACTGGGAAGCAGCTGGGATGCAATGGGAATGAACTGATGCGGAGGAAATAGAACTGGGATTCAGCTGGGATGCAGTGAGGATGAACTCAGGATGGTGTAGGGATGGAATTGGGATTCAGCTGGGATGCAGTGGGGATGTACTGAGGGTGTAGTGGGAATGGGACTGAAGCACAGTGGGGGTGAACTGAGGATGCAGTGGGAATGGAACTGGGATGTAGTGGGGATAAGGTGGGAATGGAACTGGGATGTAGTGGGGAGGCAATGGGGATGCAGTGGGAATGGAACTGGGATGTAGTCGGGAGGCAATGGGGATGCAGTAGGAATGGAACTGGGATGTAATGGGGATGCAATGGGGCTGCAGTGGGAATGGAACTGGGATATAGTGGGGAGGCAATGGGGCTGCACTGATGATGCAGTGGCTTACAGCGGGGGTTCTGTGGGAAGGAACTGGGGATGCATGTGGAAGCAACAGAGATTCAATGAGTATGCAATGGGACTGCAGCGGGATAGAACTGAGGATGCAATGGGGATTTAGAGAAGATCCAAAGGGGATGCAGTGGAAACACTAAGGACATTGTGGGAATGCAGTGGGGATGCAGTGAGGATGTGTTGGGAATGAACTGGGGATGTCATGGGGATGCAATGGGAATTTAGTGAAGATACAGTGGTGATAAACTGAGGATGCATTGGGAATGCACTGGGGATTCAACAAAGATGCAATGGGGCTGCAATGGGAAAGAACTGAGGAGGCAGAGGGGCTGGAACTGGGAAGCAGCTGGGATGCAATGGGAATGAACTGATGTGGAGGAAATAAAACTGGGATTCAGCTGGGATGCAGTGAGGATGACATCCCCATGACATGACAAGAATGAGGTGGAGAATCAATGGGAATCCAGTGGGAATGCGATGGGAACTGAGAATGCAACGGGAATTCAGTGAGGATGCAACAGAAATAAACTGAAGATGCAGTAGGAAAGCAGTGGGGATTCAATGGGGCTGCAGTGAGGATTCAGTGATGATGCACTGGGGCTGCACTGGGATATGCTGGGGCTGCAGTGGGGATAAAATGAGGATGTACTGGGGATGCACTGGGGGCTTTGGGGATGCAGTGAGGATGCTGTGGAGCATCACTGGGGCTGCAGTGGGGAAGCAGCTGCCTAGTGCAGGTGCTGTGCAGCTCCTTAGAGCCTGGAGATTCCCCAGGGCTGCCTCGTTAGGGGGCTGAGCAGGCTGACAGCAGGGGACCTGGGTTCTCCCCCTCTGCCAGGGTATTCTGCCCTGGGGGTGCAGGCTGGGAGTCCCCCACACGCTGGGCGGGGTGAGGGCAGGTGCAGGCAGCAGGGGAGGCAGGCTAAGGTGCAGGCAGGGTGCAGGCAGGGTGTGGGCGGGCTGCAAGTAGGGCACAGGCAGGGTGCAGGCAGGATGTGGGCAGGGGGAGGGCATGGAGAGGGTGCAGGCTGCACGAGCAGTGTGTGGGCAGGGTGCAAAGAGGGCAGGGGAAGGGTGTGGGCAGGGTGCAGGGTTGTTGATGCAGGGTGCAGGATGCAGGATGCAGGATGCAAGGTGCAGGATGCAGGGTGCAGGCAGGGTGCAGGGTGCAGGGTGCAGGATGAAGGGTGCAGATGAAGGATGCAGGATGCAGGGTGCAGGATGCAAGGTGCAGGGTGCAGGGTGCAGGATGCAGGGTGCAGGGTACAGGATGCAGGGTGCAGGGTACATGATGCAGGATACAGGGTGTAGGATGCAGGATGCAGGCAGGGTGCAGGGTATAGGATGCAGGTGCAGAATGCAGGATGCAGGGTGCAGTGTGCACGGTGCAGGATGTATGGTGCAGGATACAGGCAAGGTGCAGGATGCAGGGTGCAGGATGCAGAGCACAGGCAGGGTGCAGGTGCAGAGGCAGAGTGCACACAGGGTTCAGGCAGGGTGCAGGATGGACAGGCATGGTGCAGGCAGGACACAGAGTGCAGGCAGGCTATAGGCAGGGTGCAGATAGGGTACATGTGCAAGGTGCAGGGAGGGCATAGGGTACAGGCAGGGCACAGGTGAAGAGGCAGGGTGCACACAGGCTGCAAGATGGAGAGGCATGGGGCAGGCAGGGTATAGATAGGGTACATGTGCAGGTGCAGGCAGGGCACAGGTGCAAGGTGCAGGCAGGATGCAAGGTGCAGGCAGGATACAGGGCTCAGGCAGGGCACAGGGTGCAGGTAGGGCACAGGATCAGGGCACAGGGCACAGGCAGGGTCAGGCAGGGCTGACTGCTCTCTCCTTGCTTGCAGGGACCTCCAGCT